CGCTCCCCGCCCGCAGGCTGAGCTCGGGCCCGGAGAGCGAGGGTGGGGTCCCGTGCATCACACACACACACACACACACACACACACACACACACACACGAGTCACACACAGGTTGGTACTAGCACACCAGACAATTAAGGCCATACAAACACGTGAAAGATGCACAGACATGCTGGCACACGCGAGTCGATGACACGCAGGCTCCCCAGACACACACAGGCTCGGTCCACACATCATAGACACTTCTGTACACACATGCATGCTCGCACATATTCCAAGCCTGTTACACACAGACCAGAAATTCTCAGTCACCCAATCCCGTGCGTGCACAGCGTCCCGCCGAGATGGATTGCACCATCGGAGAGACGCGTACATGTTGGACACCGAGTACATTTACTCAGCACTGTCACACCGAATGACCCTGGCGCCTGGCACGTTTTTTGGTGCTGGGGACAGTGCCGTGCACAAAGTAAACCAAGGCCGGCCCTCCAGGAGAAGACATTCTAAGGAGGGAGACACACCCACATAACGTTCCAGGTAGGACGAACAGCAAGACAAGACACGTTCGCTCAGACAGAGAAATACACTCTTGCTTGAGAACCAGTGACTCACACGTAGATGATGCTCACGCCTGCAACACCCACGCAGCAAAGAGATTTTCACACCCTCATGCCAAAGACAAACTCACAGGGTGACTCCACCCACACAAACCCCAACAGGACACCCCCCCCACACACACACACACAAATCCACAACAGATAGAAGGGAAGCCGAGAGCTTAAATAGAAACGCTCCAGAAATGGACAAAGAGTTAGATCACACACACACACACACACACAGAATCCTGTCAGTCGTCCTTACACACACACACACACACACACACACAGAATCCTGTCAGTTGCCCAGACAAATATTCTCCATTCTGGGGGTCACCTCTCAGGACCCCAGTCCAGCCTATCCTTGCTGAGCCAGGAGCATGCAGCCTGGGGGTGCTGGGCTTCCTGTGACTAGAGCCAAGGTGGAAGCATGGGCTTAGGGTCTCTCTGCTGGGTCTCCCCTCACCCTCTCTTCAAGCCAGGAGCAGTGTGTGTCCCCTAGACACCGTCCCTCATTTTTCCATGATGATTACAGGCAGAGGGGCCTGCGGGTCTCTGGGGACCTGGGGGTCCCAGCTGCTCTTTCTGGACCGGCGGAATCGCCAATGCCAAACCCCTCTGCAGCAAGTCCAGACGCACAGCATAGCGGCTGGTGGGGACCAGGGCCAACACCCTCAGTGCCTCCAGGCTCTGTGCGCCCACCCCAGCGCCCCTCCCCATGCTGGGAGCTGTCCCTTCAGCACCAGCCAGTCCTACAGCCCCTGGGAGTCCCAGACAGACAGCAGGATTCACATGATTCTTCTTGTGACTGGGCCTATGGGCTGAAGACTGGGGATGTGGGCTCCATGGCCTCAGGGACACCCCTCCCCTGCCCTTACGGTTATTTCACCCAGGAGCAGGCTGGTCTGGGCAATGAGTGAGGATTATTTCCTCCCCACTGGGCGGATGAGGAAACGGGAGAGAAGTAAAGCAGCCAGCTGCCTGCTACCTGGGATCCCGCGGCCTCTCAGTCTGGCCAGGGGCACAGCAGGCGTTTAGCAAGTCCCTTTTCTGTGCTTGAGAGAGAAAGTAGTGCTGGGGACACACAGATGACTATGTATGCAGCCCCTGCCTTGGAGAAGTGTCTGTTATAGTAGGAGAGAGAGTGCTAAACATAAATGAGAACAGAGACCATCACCACCACCACCCCGCTCGGCCCACACACCCCACCCCGGCCCGGCCTCCTTCCGTGTGTCCCTGGGCACCCCGCACAGGCTCTCCCACAGAGGGTCCTCCTGAGGTCGGCAGGACTCTGGGTTGCAAGCGTTTTCAATTTTTTAATGAAAACTTCTGTCCCAGAAATACTGTTCCCAGCACATTCCAGGCAAGGACAGTTCACTTTTTTCAGAAACTTCTAAAGCAACACTCAGGCAAATTACTTATCTCTCTAAGCCTCAGCTTTCTCATCTGTGAAATTCATAGTTGACTAAACCCATAGAAATACCAGCAAACCCAAGAATCGGAGTTGGACAGAACCTTCGAGGTCAGCTCTCATTCTGTGCGCCTGCATCTGCTCTCGGCAGCTCGAGGAGACCGTCTCTCGGGCTTTGCTTAAATGCCGCGGGGGATGGAGGCCTCACTACTTTGCAAGAAACCCCTTCTCACTGTGAGAAAGGGCTGGGCAGTTGTCAAGACGGGGAGGGAGCGACACAAGGAAAGAGGAAAGGATGCTAGTCCCCACTCTGAGAGAGCTTGCTGTGTGCCGGGGGCATTGCAGGCCCTTCACAGCATCCCTCCTTCACAGAGTCCCTCCTTTAAGCCTCCCAGCAACCCTCGAAGCAGGTGTCATCCAACCTCATTTCACAGGAGAGAAAACTGAGGCTCAGAGAGAGAAGTCATTCGCCGAGGGTCACAGCTGGCAAATGGTGCCACTTAAGGGTTAAAACAGTAGAGTGGTCCCAGTGTCTGCGCCTTACTGGTCTCCTTTAGCCCCTCCACCCACCCACCCCCGCAGGAGCCTGGCAGAAGGGGTCCCGCTGGGAGAAGGGCGATAAAGGAATGGACTAGATTGTTGAGTTGGAATCCTGCTCTCCATGCAACCTTGGACAATGCTTCCACATTCGTCCAGCACTGGGGGCGCCCACCGGGTCTCAGGCTTCCTCACGCCTCATCTTCTTCAGGCAGAAGGGGATCTGACTTGGTTCGAGCGCCTGCCATGCGTAAGGGTCTTTGCACACGCGGTTTCTTTCTACACGTCACGTCCTGCCTTCAGCAGCCCCCGGGGCAGGCAGTGCCACCTCCGTTTCCAGGCTGGAGCACGGGGAGACCAAGGGGGCAGCCTTGGCCGAGGCCAACAGAGGAAGAGCCCAGGAAACCTGAGTGAACCCCACTCGGTCCAGAGGGTGGCGGTGACCTTCCCCACCCGGCCCCCAGCCGCTGCGCCCGGTCCTCCAGGGAGGGAGTGCTCATGCGTGACTCCAACCAGGACACTTGGTGAAGGACAAGCGAGAGCTCACCCCGTCCGCCCCGAGGCCTTCCAGGGCGAAGCATGGAAGGGAGGGCTGTGTTGGGCGGCAGTGGGAGCGGACCTGGGGGCCACTCAGCTCCGATGCCTCTTCTCCATCACGGCCTATTTTTTGGGGGAACAACAGAGAAATATTTTTTTCAAAAAACACCAGTTGTGCTCGACCAGCATGGCTCACGGTTCGAATCCTGGCCAGGGCACATGCCGGGGTTGTGGGCTCAGTCCCCAGTGTGGGGCGTGCAGGAGCACCCGGTCAATGATTCTCCCTCATCATTCATGTTTCTCTCTCTCTCTCCCTCTCCTTTCCTCTCTGAAATCAATAATAAAATATATTAAAACACACACGCACACACACGCACACACATACATGCACGCACACACACATACACACACAACAACAACAAAAACATCAGCTGTAAAAAGGAAGTTTCCCAAAAGCAGGGGAAGGGAACTGTGCTTTATTGTGGGTGTATAATCCTCTTAGCAAACCTGTGAGGTGAGGAAGGGCCTACTGCGCTTGTTTTGGATGGAAGAGAGTCAGAGGAGTTACCCGAGCTGCTGAGCTGCAGGGCCGGCCAGTGGCAGAGGCGCAGCTCAGGTCCGGGCCTGCTTGGTGGTAAAATGTCTGTGTGTGTGTGTGTGTTTTGCTGCCCCCGAGTCAGCTCCCTAGGGGCTGTGGGGGGCAGAGTGATGCCCCTGCCCTCGGCGTCCAGTCCTAATCCCCGAGCCCGTGCACAGGATGCCTCTCACGCCAAAGGGGACTTTCAGGTGTCATAAGAGCAGGGCCTGGAGCAGGGAGGTTACCTGGGCTCACCGGGTGGCCCGATGTCATCACGAGGGTCCTCACAGGTGAAGGAGGGAGGCAGGAGGCTCAGAGTCCAGGGCAACGTGACCCCAGATCAGCGAGGGACCGGAAGGAGCTGTGCCGTGAGGACGGAGGCGGGGAGCCAGAGCCCCAGGAAGCAGCAGCTCCAGAAGCAAGCTCTCCCCGGGGGTCTCCGGGAGGAGCGCCGCGGCCCTGCCAACACCGCGATTTCCGCCCAGGGACACCCCGCTTGGGCGTCTATTCTCCGAACAGGGAGGTCATAAATCATGTGTTGTCTTAAGCTCCCAGCTCATGGCGCTTTGTTCCAGCAACAATAGTAAACGGACCCAGGCAGGAAATGGATCCCTGAGGAAATCCCTGCTCTCTGTGCCGAGTGGACTGGGCGCCCGAGAAAGTCATTTACCCCCACAAAAGCCGAGACTCTTGGATCCGTGCGGGTCCGCAGCACTTTGTAAGGAACCGTTCATAAGTTAAACTTTCAAAAGAGAAAAAAATCTTTGTGAAAAAGCAGACATTTTAATGTCCCAAACTACACGAATGATACATTTAACAAGAATGGAGGAAAATACATCTTGGTAACAAGAGCAAGTTTCAGCCTCTTTTACACGAGGCTGGGCCGTCACTGTGAATCCTGAAACCCCGGGAGGCGTGTAAGCGCAGTGAGCGCTGGTCAGGGATCCGATGAGCCTCTCCAAGGACGGATGGTTCCTCATTTCCTGTCAGGCCGCGGGGGGTCGGGCAGCTGAACCTCCAAAGGGAAGGGGTCCGCTCAGGTTGCCGACCACGGGGCAGAACTCGGACTGGAACATCCTGACCCTTGTGTCCAGGTCACGTAGGAGTCCTGTTAGACTTACGCAACTGCAAGGTGTCGCGTCATCGCACGATTTCCACGCTGATGTCTGTGCTCACGGCTTTCATGGGACCCCTGCCCGGGGTGCAGCCTGGAAGAGTGAGGAGACCAGGCGGTCCTGCCCACGTGAACTTGCAAGCCCCGCCCACCCCGTTGGCCAGTGACCCCAAGTCCCTTCCTGGCCGCACCATCAGGAGTTGGCTGTGCAAACCTGAACTTTGGGGGATCGTCCTAGTCACCCCGCCCAGGCCCTGCCATCGCACTGAAACGCATCTGGGCGTCCTCACAGAGGGGAGGGGAGGTCCCCAACGTCACAGCACTGCTGTGTGCCAGGCACTTTAGGGAACATGGCTGTCTCCTTCAGGCTCACACCTTCCCTGGCGCCATGGAGGACAGTGAGGCGGCAGGAGGCCCGGGTGCTGAGGGGACCGGCACCGACAGCTGGTGGCAGTCATAGGTCAACGCCGTGCATCTGGCCCATCACTCACTCTCCAGTCCCTGTGAGAGGCAGACCTTGCCCTGGTCCCAGTGGGGAGTCTAACACAGTTATAACAGTGCTGCGAAGGTGGGTACTGCCCCATCGCTGTCAACGGCACATTTACAAACATGGTATCTATCATACCACTTTACTTGGGAAAGAACACGTTGATACCGAGTGGCTATCAAGTTCCCAGCCATTTTTGGCAATCCCATTCATTGGTCTTTCTCTTCCCTTGTTCTACGATCATGCAAAGGGCCTGTCCGTGTCCCTCTGGCCTAGCCTGAAGGTGGAGCCGGAGCAAACTCCACTTCTCGCAGTAGTCTCCCCAGGACTCCGCGTCCTGCATTCAGGCCAAGGATGCAGGCATCCGACCTGGAGCCACGCTGCTAAGACCAGAGCAGGAATCTGGGAAAATCAGACGGAACAGGAAAGCCCAGTCCTTCCACCCTGAGCCTACCGGCTTCTTAAAAGCAGCTTTAGGTCCAAGGCCCACGCTACCGTTTTCTAGAAATCCCCATAAAGCAGGAAAGAGTTCTAATATAGGAACAACCCCAGAGCTTCTCCATCCTTCTCCACCTCCGGAGACACCAGAGAATACCCGAAGCGTTTGTGTCAAGGCCAGGTGGGAGCCCAGCTGGCCATCGGGGCAAAGGCCGAATAGAAATCGCCATGTGCTCACGCACTGGTCACCGTATGTGCCACAGTGCACTGTGCACATCGACCACTGCACCCAGCAGAGCCCCTCTGTGTGCCTTTATGTCACCAACCGTACCGTCTGAGCCTGCGTGTCGTTGTGCCGAGGTCGGCCACAGCGCAGCGGTCCTGCATTTAACTTTCATAAGGGCCATTGACTGCTTCAAGGGCCTCTGAAGGGGAGGTTACAGAGCCGCCTCTGGTCCCAAATGTTTCAAATGTGAGCAGTCTCCTTCTGTCAACGCTGAGTACACTTTTCTTTCTCTGTGAGAAACACATAGATACGTGTCTCACGTGGGAGAGACGGGCGAGCTGGGAGGGACCGTGAGGCCAGAGCCTGAGGGTTCGCCCCTGGATGCCCGTTTGAATCACTGTGGGGCTTTCAAAGACCCCAGCGTGCCCCCCCCCCAAGGCAATCTGATTTAAAGGGCCTGGAGCAGGGCCTGGGGTTGGTCTTTTATAAACCTCTGCAGCCTGGCCGGTGTGGCTCAGTGGTCGACCTATGAACCAGGAGGTAGTGGTTCGATTCCCAGTTGGGACACACACCCAGGTTTCGGGCTCGATCCCCAGCAGGAGGCGTGCGGGAGGCAGCCGATCAATGATTCTCTCTCAACACTGACATTACTCTCTCTCTCCCCCACTCCCTTCCTCTCTGAAATCAATAAAAACATATTAAAAAGCTCTGCAGATGAGTCCAACGTGCAACCAGGGTGAAGAATCACCAGTGTGGGTGGAGTGCAATGTGCACCCTACAAATGGAGCTCATGTGAC